CGGGGGCCGAGCCCACCTGCGCCCTCTGGCGGCCGCAGGGGACGGTGTTGGAGTCTCGCAGCGCCTTTGCTGCCCCAAACTCTGTTACTCTGAGCCATAGATTCGTTCATTCACCCCTGCGTCCTTCCGTTGGTTCATTTATTCACTCACTCTGCTCAGTGACTATTTACCGAGTCTTTTCTCTGGACCAGGTACTGTTCTAGGCACTGTGGATAAAGAATGAAGACAACAGACAAGCCTAGTGCTCCTGGACTTGACGCTCTAGTGGCAGATGGTCAACTTAAGTACACTATTTATAGTAGGAGAAGTTCTGTGGAGACGTGTAAAGCAGAAAAGGAGAAATGGAGTAAGGGTGGAATTGCACTTTTTTAAAGTGTATTTAATTTTATTTATCATTGTTATTATTTTTTAATTTGCTATAGGGCATGTGTGCCCATCCTAGAGAGACAGAGATAGAGAGAGAGAGGGAAAATGAAAAAGCAAGCCATCAGGTCCAGGATTCAAACTGCAGTCAGCCCTGTGGGCGTCCAGCACCTTAGCCACCACGCCACCTGCTGGCCCAGGATGTCGCTTTTAGTGGAGGTAACCAGGGAAGTCTCATTTCATAACAGCCTTCCTACTTCTTTTTCCTTTTTTATTTTTTTTTTTCAGAGAGGTTTTTGCTATAGGGCACATGTCCTCACCAGGAAGACAGAGACAGACAAAAAGCGAGAAATCACTCCCCAGGGGGGATGGCCACACCACAATCCCTTCTCCTTCATTCTCCTCTTGGGATCTTGGGCACTCACACACATGCACCCGCTGTGAGTTTAAGTCACCGGATCTGCCACTCGAACCAGAGTTGACTACATGGGAGTCCAGCGACAGCAATTACACCAAGTGCTGGTCCCACGACAAGAATGTTTCTTATTGAAGCATGAATATGTTCAAGTCCTGGACCCAGCAGCTTCAAACTCATGCCAGGTGGGCCCTCGTTTGGTGTGATGGTTAAAGGCGCTGGACTCCCACATGGCTGACCATGGTTTGAGTCCCAGACCTGGCAGCTTGCTTTCTCACTTTCCCTTTCTGTCTCTCTCTCTCTGTCCCTCTCTGGTCAAATTTAAATAAGTTAATTAATTGAATTATTCTTGAAAGAAAGAAAGAAAGAAAGAAAGAAAGAAAGAAAGAAAGAAAGAAAGAAAGAAGAAAGAAAAAGAAAAAGAAAGAAACTCATGCCAGGTGTGTGTGTGTGTGTGTGTGTGTGTGTGTGTGTGTGCATGCCCAAACTCCCAAAAGAATAGAGAAGGAATTGTGACATGGCCACCCCCCCACCAGGGGCTGATTTCTTTCTCTCTCTCTTTGGCAAGCACATGTGCCCTATAGAAAAAAATCTCTTAAAAAAAAAAAAAAAAAAGCAAAGGCTGATGATGCAGTTGTAAGGCTCTGCTCAAGCGCAGCTGTGTTACATGGAGGATTGCACATCCTTCCCTTCTGACCTGAACACACTGGGTGTATGCATCCATAACCCTGGCTGGCTGGGAAGGCTGAGGAGCAGCGGGAATCGAGGCATGGGATGCTGTTGAGGGTGCTTGTCTTTCTGTTGTTCTCTCATTAAAGAAATAAACTTAAAACTAAAAAAAGGGGGCGGCAGCAGGTGGCGTGGTGGTTAAGGGCACCACGTGGAAGACTCCCACATGGACAACTGTGGTGTGAGTCCTGGACCTGAAGGCTTGCTTTCTCACTTTCCCTCTCTCTCTCTCTCTCTCTCTCTCTCTCGCTCTCTTTGTCCCTCTCTGGTCAAATTAAAATAAATAAATAAATAAAGTTAAATAAAATAGGGACCAGCAGATGGCATGGTGGTTAGGGGAGCTGAACTCCCACATGGTTGACTGTGCTTCGAGTCCCGAACCTGCCGACTGGCTTTCTCATTCTCTCTCTCTCTCTTTCTCTTGCTCTGTCCCTCTCTGGTCAAATATAAATAAATAAATAAAGTCTAGTAAGATAATTCTAAAAAGAAAAAAAAAGTTAAATAAAATAATTATTTTTTTAAAAAAAGAATTATTTGGGACCAGCAATCGGCGTAATGGCTGTGTCACTGGACTCCTATATAGTCAGCCACAGTTTGAGTCATGGACTGGTGGCTTAAACTTATGCTGGGCACACATGCGTGCGTGCCCAAGATCCCGAGAGGAGACTGGAGGGGAAGGGATTGCAGCGTGGCCATCTCCCCTGAGGAGTGATTTCTTGCTTTTTGTATCTCTATCTCTCTCTGTCTTTCTGGTGAGCGCACATGCCCTATAGCAAAAACCTCTCAGAAAAAAAAAAAATCACAAATGATTTTGGTAACGCTTGAATTCCAATCTTTTGGTCCACAACAGGCAAATCCACAGACAGAAAATAGACTGGTCCCAAGATATTTTCTTTTTATAAAAAGAATTATTTTATTTATTTTTAAATTGATCAGAGAGGGAGGAAAGAGCAAGAAAGAGGGAGAGAAAGGGAAAGTGAGAAAGCAAACCACCAGGTCCAGGACTTGAACTACGGTCAGCCATGTGGGAGTTAAGTGCCCTTAACCACCACGCCACCTGCCAGCCCCTATAGAGATATTTTCTATAGGGCATGTGTGCTCACCAGAGAGACAAAGAGAGATGGAGAGACAGAAAGAGAGAAATCACTCCCTCAAGGAGGACGGCCACGCTGAAATCCCTTCTTCTCCATTCTCTTCTTGAGACTTTGGGCATGCATGCACATGCACCTGGCATGAGTTTCAAGCCACCAGGTCCAGGACTCAAACCATGTTGACCATGTGGGAGTCCAGCGCCTTAAACACTGCACCACCAGTTTTGTTTTGTTTTGTTTTAGAGAGGTTTTTTGCTACAGGCACGTGTGCTTGCCAGAAAGAGAGAGAGATAGAGAGACAGAAAGTGAGAAATCACCCCCCAGGGGGGATGGCCATGCCGCAATCCCTTCTCCTCCATTTTCCTCTCGGGATCTTGGGCACACA